GAGTGAGCCTCTTGAGTTGACGTGTACTTCTAAGCTCATGATGCTCATATACTGAGCTTCGTGCTTAACACTAGTTGTCTTTTGCTTCTGTGAGTACTTGAAGCCATGAGGATTCTTCTGAGTTGGACCTTCTATCTGTGAAATGTGGCTCATTGGGTTGAATTTACGCACTGGCATAGTTGCCGTCTCGTCTTGTGCCTTGGTTTTAGGCTTCACCACTTTGCGTTGCTTGATGTGACGGCTGGTCCAGCGCTTCACTTCTTTGAAAGTAGGAGGAGGTCTTGAGAGTTCCCAGTGACGCAAACCACAGTTATGTGATCGTTCTTGATCCATTGTAGCTTGTTTCTTCTTGTCTAACACAACTGTGGGATACTCTCCAATGTTGGCAAGAGAATTACCAGTGGGGTCGAAAGGAGGAAGATACGGTAATGTGGTGCTTTGTAGTTTGAACTCGCGACCCGCATACTCTCTTGGCCGATCTGGAACATCCTTCTCATCACTGTAATATGCGTCCTGATAGATTACCGGTGGGAGTCCCGCATGCATCATGGTGCCTTTGACGACCTCAGCCGGTGGAGGTAGCGCGCCGTAGTAAATAGTACGATGCTTGTGCTGGAACGATGTATCCAGCCGTCGCACTAGAGAAGCTACCTTGGAGCGAGCTTGCGAGGTACTACTGTTCGGCACCATTGGCGAGGTCTTTTGATGCGTCCATGGGGTCACAGGAACGAGTTGCGAAGGTCTGGCCGTAAGACGCTTAGGCCCAGGTGTCTTGGGCCCTTCTTGGGAATTTGAATACCCAGATTGACTCAAGCGATGAAGCGTCTCCGGTGCATTCGGGTTCTTTACTACAGGGAACGAGAAAGTAGTCGGCGCCCCTAAGCCTTGAGCTTTGATACTCGTTTGTGACGATTGACCGGGATGAGGTGGATCGTCGTTCTTGTTCAGGGCGTTGCGAAACGAGACACGCCTATTGGTACTCTGGGTTGTTGCCAGGATTCGTTGACGCTTGTTGTAGTCTTCTTCTGCGGGTTCGAGAGAGCGCTTCCTTTGGCTCATCGGGCTGCTGGACTCTGGTTTTTTGCCATCGTCATCGGGGTCAACTAGATCAATTCCTTCGTCGATGAGTGCATCTTCAGCTTCTATGTCACTAGAGCCCTTGAGTAAAGATACTGTTAGGGGATCCATGGATTGCTGTTCTTCGGTGTCAGAATGATTGTCGGCGTCCACTGGATTGCCGTCTTCGCCGTCCCCGATGGGACCGTCACTGTGAGGCTGTCTGGGTTCTGGCTCGTGAGACGCAAGCTGAGCGTCAATGTCCACAGGCGCACCACCTTGTTCTAGCACGTTGACGTCTTGCTCGAAGTCGTCATTTGGAAGCTGCTGTGTAGACAAGACCTCGGGATAGAGATCTTCGATACTCTCTACAGCAGTCCTGATACGCTCCTGGCCAGGGATGGGTTTGACGAAACCGTCAAATTTGGCTTCGCCCTTTCCTTGTCTTTCCTCGATGATTAGCTTTTCGATGAGTTCTCGATACTCCTCTTCGTGAATCCATCCACCGGCCTTGGTGTTCCGCATATCAGCCGACATGGACACAAGCACTTCAGCAGGAAAAGGACTGCTCGAAGGATTGGAGAGGCCCATACGACGTTTGCGTCGGCGCGTTTCGTCTCTCCAGAGACCAGCCATTGACGGCACGAATTTGTCATCTGGATTGCGTGGCATTTGGCTCGATCGCTCTAGGAAGTCGTGGTGGATGGGTCGATATTGTAGTTCGTGCCGATTGAGGATGTCCTGGACGCATATATCGACTTCAAGAGTGCAGTGACTTTGGCGTGGGTATTGATCCTCATCGGCTATGAGTTCGTGGGGAATAGACGCATCGTGCCACTTGTGGACAGTGGTATCTACCTCTTCGCTGTCTGGAACGGGTCCCCGGAACTGGACTTTTGCGCAGTTAATCCAGTCGCATCCGTACAGGTTGTAGTCGCACATCCACTGCAGGAGGTACTGCAGGTGACTCTCATATGGCTGGAACACCCGGTTCAAGATTGCTCCTTGATGCAGCAGGTCGGTAAACCGAGTCATATGCATGGGGTTGAGCATATAGACTTTCAAGAAAATCTTGTATCCAACACTGTATCCAAAGAAGGGAACACCCTTGACGAGAGATATGTGGCCAACGTATATCGACTTTCCATCGTATGCATTTCGGCGGTACGCGGTGGCGAGGGCGTGATCAATGGAGGCGCGGAGATCCAGAATGTACGCGTTGACTGGGAGGAGTCAGCTTGATACCAATTGTACGGCTGTCACACGCACCAACATCTTTCTCCAAGCTGCCATTATACTCCAGATATAGGTAAGGCAGCGCTCCATGGATATGAGCGCACACCTTCTGCCCCGTCTCGGTCGTACCAAACGCCCGGATTACCGGTACTTGCGGTGCGCCCAGTCGGCCTGCAGGACCGGCATTGCGCCGGAGAAGAGGGTCGATGTCTGTCGGAGCCGCCTGGTAGTTGTCGATGCAGTTCAGGCGAAAGCGGAAAGTATCCATGACGACACAGCCGGTATCCAGAAAGTGTGTGCGAAAGTGGAAGTTCGCATCGTGTTCAGGAGATCATCCAAAATCAAACTCGCGCATCGCACGCGACAAGGTTGTCGGTGGCGGAATGGAGTGAAAGAGACGCGAGGCACAACAAGCGCGACCGGACTCGCGTGGTCCCGTGACGTGCGGGATCGACGCTGCAGCCAGCCCTACGCCACTAGTCGGCGGTCCACTTTGGCCGCCATTCTAAAGCTTCTACCAACTGACAACCTTCACCACTCCACGCGACCGAGGCATCCTCCCACGCCCAACATGCCGCCCTCCCAACCCAAGAAGCCCGACGTCTCCGCCGCGGCAAAAGAGCGCAACGAATACATCCCCTCGTTCATTTCGAAGAAGCCCTTCTACGCCGTCGACGAGACTGGCGAGGACAACACCGATTACCTCGAGCATCAGCGTCTGCAGAAGCAGGAGCAAGACTCAAAATGGTATGATCGCGGCAAGAAGGTCGGTCCGGCTGCGACCAAGTTTCGCAAAGGCGCATGCGAGAACTGCGGTGCCATGACACACAAGAAGAAGGACTGCCTGAGCCGGCCGCGAAAGGCAGGCGCAAAGTTCACAGGCAAGAACATCGAGGCGGACGAGGTCATTCAGGACGTACAACTAGGCTTCGATGCGAAACGCGATCGATGGAACGGCTACGATGCATCACATTTTGAGGAGGTCATCGAGGAGTACAACGCCATGGAGGAGATCCGGAAAAAGGCCAAAGAAGCTGAGAAGGGTGACAAGTCGGATGACGAAGATGAGGGCGACAAGTACGATGCCGAGACGGACATGGGTAGGAAACAGGCCACATCCACACGGAACCTGCGATTACGAGAAGACACGGCAAAGTATCTGCTCAACCTGGATCTCGACTCCGCGAAATATGACCCCAAGACGCGCTCCATGGTCGACAGCGGCGCGACGGCCGACAACGCCGCCCAACTAGTAGCAGAGGAAGGGTTCATGAAGGCGTCTGGAGATGCAGCTGAGTTTGAGAAGGCGCAGCGATATGCTTGGGAGACACAGGAGCGCGGAGACAAGAACAAGCTGCACTTACAGGCCAATCCTACGTCTGGCGAGGTCATGCGGAAGAAGCAGCTCAAAGAGGCTGAGGAGATGGCAGCAGCCAGGAAGAAGGCCTTAGCGGAGAAGTACGGCACACAAGAAAAGTTCACCGACGACTCCCTTCGAAAGACAGCCGTCACAGAGAACGAGCGATATGTCGAGTACGACGAGCGAGGCGGCATAAAGGGCGCACCAAAAATCAAGGCAAAATCAAAGTACCCAGAGGATGTGCTCCTCAACAACCACACATCAGTCTGGGGCAGCTGGTGGTCCAACTTCCAATGGGGTTTTGCATGCTGTCACTCGACAGTCAAGAACTCGTACTGCACGGGCGAGGCAGGCAAGGAGGCTTTTGAGCTGGCAGATCGGATGCGCACCGGTGCTGACCTGGACGAAGTACCCAAGGAGATAGCATGGAAGGAAGAGGCTGTCCTGGAGGAACACGTACCCAATGCACCCGACCGCGCCGAAAAAGCAAAGAATGATGCTGCCAGTCGGAAACGAGCTCTCGACGAGATGACGGGAGGCGTAAATGAGGAGGAGATGGAAGAGTATCGCCGCAAGAGGACAATGGCCGCGGACCCTATGGCTGCCTATCTCACCAAGGGAGGGAAAAGTGAAGCGGTTTGAGGTGTCGAGCCTTTCTTGACGGCGTCATAGGGCATCATTATTGTATTCGTAGCATTGCATGGCGTTCATCATACCCTGGAGTCGCATCTAAGATAGCATGTAAAATGACATAGTAGTTCCTGATGATCGCTGCGTTGGCCATGCGTGATCGGTACAGTTCACAGAGCAAGGGTGCATCCAGCGAAGTCATGCAGCCCTGTTAGTGAAGACGCATCTTGTCGCCCTCCATCACGGATGCCAACTCAGACCCGAGTCGGTTGCGCATGCAGCCGCGTATGCGTTGTTAGTCCATGGCGAAGGCAGCAGTTTAGGCCAGGATGCACAGCCCAAGTGGAGGAGTTCGCGGCACCCGATGCAGCAAGAATGCGCTTCTAGCTGCATGGCTCGGAAGATTCTAGCTCGAGTAAAGAGGTTTTGCCTGCGAGCAAATCTAGAATTCAGTATTAGATACAAGGGTTAGACCTGGTCGGGGGTGAAGGCGATGACGAAGCGCCAAGCTGCACGAACCACCTCCCGGGGTCGAGTAGTAGGAGCTCCTCTGATGGTTGACTGACCCAACAGCGCAACCAGATATCTCAACCCCACACCTCCCCATTTCCGCGCATTGCTTTTGCGCGCCTTCTCCGACACCGACCATTAACCTTTCCCTCCTACACTTACCTGCAACTACGAACAGCAAGCTCGGAAAGAGCTCACGGCGACCAAGATGGCGCTCTACGGAAGCTCGCGCAACGTGGACATGGGCAAGTACGTATATCACCATCACTATGCCGGCACCCTCTGGCGGCCTGGAGAGAGCGCTCCACAGGAGAAATGTAGCATGGCCTAATATGTTTGTATCCAGGCAGGAGTCGGAGCTTGCCATCAACATTCGCAAAGCCACGAGCATCGAAGAGGTCTCCCCCAAGCGTACGTATCGGAACTCGTCAGTACGCGCATGAAACTCACAATAGCGCAGGGAAACACGTGCGAGCATGCATTGTCTACACATGGGATCACAAGAGTTCCGCGTCTTTTTGGCAGGGCATGAAAGTGTAAGTTAGCTGGAGCGCACCCGCGCTGCCCAATCGCCCAAATGCTAATAGCATGTTCCAGGCAGCCAATTCTCGCCGACGAGGTGCAGACCTTCAAAGCGCTCATTACCGTCCACAAGGTCCTCCAGGAAGGCCACCCTATCGTTCTTAAGGAGGCGCAATCGAACACCAGCTGGCTTGAGAGCCTGTCACGGGGCTCCACGGTCGGAGAAGGCATGCGGGGATATGCGCCGCTCATTTCAGAGTACATCTACTATCTTATGGCCAAGCTTGCTTTCCACCGACAGCATCCCGAGTTCAATGGTACGATGAGCGGCAGCAAGACGCGGATAACTGGCTGATTGGAATAGGAACCTTCGAGTACGAGGAGTACATCAGCTTGAAGTCGATCAATGACCCTAATGAGGGATACGAGACCATATCGGATCTTATGACGCTACAAGATCAGATCGATGCTTTCCAGAAGCTCATCTTCTCCCATTTCCGGAGCGGCGCGAACAACGAATGTAGGATAGCGGCGTTAGTGCCACTGGTTCAGGAGTCCTATGGTATCTACAAGTTCATCACCAGCATGTTGCGCGCAATGCACACCAGTAAGGACTAGAGTCTCGGTTGATTTGCGCCCTAACTAACCAACGTAGCACTCGGTGACGACGAAGCGCTCTCTCCTCTACGCGGCAGATACGATGCCCAGCACTACCGTCTCGTCAAATTCTACTACGAATGCTCGAATCTTCGGTACTTGACCAACCTCATTACAGTGCCAAAGCTGCCACAGGAACCACCGAACCTGCTCTCGGAAGACGAGAGTGCGCCCGCACTACCTCAACGACCCCGCAACGAGAAGCCCGAACCCGCTCGCGCTCCATCAGTCGACCCAGAGCCAATCAACGAGTTTTGGAAAGACAATCAGCGGAGGCAACAAGAGGAATACGAGGCTGAACAGCAGAGACTACAGAGGCAATGGGAGGAGGCTCAGCAACAGCAGCAGCAGCAAGCGATGCAGGCACAACGTGACTTCGAGGAGCAACAACGGCTTCAGGCAGAGCAAGCTCGGTTGGCGCAAGAACAACTCATGCGCGAACAGTATCAACAGCAGACACAGGGTCGCCTTGCTGAGCTTGAGCGAGAGAATCTAAACGCGCGCGCTCAGTACGAACGCGACCAGCTGATGCTGCAACAATACGACCAGCGGATGAAGGCATTGGAGGGCGAGATCAACCAGATGAACCAGAACTTCCAGCAACAGATGGGCTCGCGAGATGATCAGATAAGAGCACTTCAGGAGCAGCTCAACACATGGAGATCAAAGTACGAATCGCTAGCCAAGCTCTATTCGCAATTGCGTCATGAGCATCTCCAGCTGCTGCAGAAGTTCAAGGCAGTTCAGCTCAAGGCAAACTCCGCCCAGGAAGCCATTGATGGGCGAGACAAGCTGCAACGCGAGCTGAAGACCAAGAACTTGGAACTGGCAGACATGATCCGCGAGCGCGACCGAGCGCTCATGGAGAAGGACCGTCACACTGGTGGCCACCGTGAGGAGACTGAGAAGTTGAAGAGGGAGCTCCGTGCTGCCCTAGACAGAGCCGACAATCTCGAGCGTGGCAAGGGCTCAGAACTTTCGGCAATGCTGTCAAGACACAACCGAGAAATCGCGGACCTTGAGGAAGCGCTGCGGAACAAGACCCGCGCGCTAGACGAGTTCCAGATGAAGTACCGTGAAGGTGACTCTGACCTAGAGCGTCAACTGCGCGACAAGGAGGAGGAGCTGGAGATCTTCCGTGCTGGTATGGACCAGACGCTACTCGAGCTGAACGAGCTGAAGCTCAACGCTGGTACCAACGATGATGTTCTGGATGGTCACTTGGACACAATTATCCAAGACAGCCTCCAGAAGATCAACGACCTCATCGACTCCGTCCTCCAGAGTGGTGTACAGCGTGTTGACGATGCGCTATATGAGCTCGACTCTCCTATGCAGGCTGGAAACCAGAATGCCACTGGCGCGTACGTGCTTTCGCAGATCGAGAAGGCATCAACATGCACCATGGAGTTCTCAACAGCTTTCAACAACTTCATTGCTGACGGGCCGAACGCCAAGCACGCTGAGGTTATCAACGCCGTCAGCAACTTCGGTGGCGCTATCGTCGATGTGTTGGTGAACACCAAGGGACTGACGCGATTCGCTTCTGATGAGAACAAGGCTGACCAGCTCATCAACGGCGCGAGAGCCTCTGCAACCTCGACCATCAGGTTCTTCCGTAACGTCCAGTCAGTGCGCATGTACGACATGGACGCGGAGCAGAAGATCAACGTTGTCATCAACAACAGCACAGAAGTCGTGCGCAACCTGCAGAGCTTGTCCAAGCTCGCGGACGCCTTCGCACCCAAGAGCAAGATCACCAACGCCTCTGGCGATCTTGGCGACTTGGTCGACAACGAGTTGACCAAGGCAGCCAACGCCATCGACGCGGCCACCGAGCGTCTGTCCAAGCTGATGAAGAAGCCCAGAGACCAGTATTCCACCTACGAGCTTAAGATCCACGACTCCATCCTCGAAGCCGCCATCGCCGTCACAAACGCTATTGCGCAGCTTATTAAGGCCGCCACCGAATCCCAAAAGGAAATCGTGCGCGAAGGCCGGGGCAGCATGTCCAAGACCCAGTTCTACAAGAAGCACAACCGCTGGACCGAAGGTCTCATCAGTGCCGCCAAGGCCGTCGCCACATCGACAAACATGCTCATCGAGACCGCCGACGGCGTCATCTCCGGTCGCAACTCGCCCGAGCAGCTCATTGTCGCTTCCAACGACGTTGCTGCCTCCACTGCTCAGTTAGTGGCTGCCAGTCGTGTCAAGGCTAGCTTCATGAGCAAGACGCAAGACAGGCTGGAGAGCGCATCTAAGACTGTCACTGCGGCTTGCAGGTCGCTTGTCAGGCAAGTGCAGGAGATCATCGCCCAGAAGAACAGGGACGAGGGCGAGGTTGTCGACTACAGCAAGTTGGGCGACCATGAGTTCAAGGTCCGCCAGATGGAGCAGCAGGTATGTATTCATCAACAACCCTTCGGGGAAGAACAGACGCTAATATATGATTCTAGGTCGAGATTCTGCAGCTGGAGAACTCACTTGCGCAGGCTAGGACCAGGTTGGGTGAGATGCGCAAGCTTTCTTACCTTGAAGAGTAGATGTCTGCACTTTGGCGCTTGTTCGTTCGTGTGGATAGCTGCTGGTTTATCGTGGATAGTTACCATTCATTATTATTGTCTCATGGTGGACACCCTTTGTAAACAAAGCTTGTTCTTCTTCCTCTACAGTTTTGAAAGAAAGGGAAATCAACGATTTGTTGTGACTGACGTTGTCTTTTATGTGAAACACTACCTAATTATTGTACATGAACCCATCTCAACCCATCTCAACGCTTTCTCTTCAGCCCCAAGTTGGGCGATCATCCCATGCGAGATCGCCTCAGCTGAAGATCAAGAGGGAACCCCTCTTCCTCCCCCTTCTTGTACAAGAACAAAGCCTCCTCAACCGTAAACATAACCCCCCTCTCAATCCTGGCTTTCGCCTTCGCCTCTTTCAGCTCAACCTGCCTCGCCCGAATCTTCTCCAGACAAGCTTTCATCTCGTCGGCAGCCAGAGCGCGCTTCTTCTCCTCAGCCTCGCGCTTCTTCTCTGAAGCTTGGCGCTCCAGCTTGCCGACTTCGATGCCAATCATCTTGGCCGAAAACTTGTCCGCGAAGACAATGTCGTCCGCAAGCTCTCCCACCTCTTCTGGTTGGAAGGCGCGTTGGTCGTCTGTATTCTCGAACCCAGGCCATGTAGGTGGGTTTTGCTCATCGAACAACCTCATGTAGGTTGGTAGGTATGTCAAGAGGTGAACTATTTCACTCTGTTAGCATCATGTAGGCTCCAGGGTATGTTGAGAACTCACCTGCGCAACCCTCGTAGGCCTTGACGGCAGCAAGATGCTCGCCCACCGAGACATCCTTGATACAAGGACAGCAGATGATCGGACGGTTCTGGCGAGGATCTTGGTAGACAAGGTGTCCGCACACCAGACAGAAACGCACAAGCCGATCTGAGTGGAGACGGTATGTCGTTCCCCGGAGTAGGTCGTCGTGTTCATCCCCTGTTGTGGGTACGCCGCATGTCAGGTCGCAGTCTCTGCACACGCCCAGTAAGTTGTCGTCGAATTCGGGGTCGTTGGGAAGAATGGGGTAGACTTGGAAGCATAGCCGGCAGCCAAGATAACCTTGGCCTTTGGTGTACGGGTTAAGGGTGTATGGGGTGCACTTGGCATGCGCGCGCCTCACTACGAATGCTATCTTGTCTTGGAGCTTGAGGCCATGAGAGAAGCCTACTTCGACCAGTGGGCGGAAATGGCGATGAGTCTGGCAGAGGCGGAGGGCGGTCTGGTAGTCGGTTGCCTGGATAATGCCACAGAGGACAGTGGGTGGTAGATCCAGTAGGCTTTTGCGCTGTTCGGGGCTGACAGGGGCCTTGATCTGAAGTCCTTTGCTACAAGGTTAGTCGGAAGGTTAGTCAAGATCCAAGAAGCGAAATAGAAGAAGCGAAGTAGAAGAAATGAGGTAGAAGAAGCGACGTAGAAGCAAGAAAGAGAGAAATGTAGAGGCAATGCACGGAGGTTAGTCAAGTCGTACAAATCCAGAGTAAGGTTTCGGGCTCCAGTGTCGTTTGCTCGATGGTTAGCGCTCTGTTGGGCAGCGACGCCAGAGTTGGGCTGTGCCATCTTCTGAGCAGAGAGTGTGAGAGCTTGGTAGTAGCTGATATCTTGCTGTGATCTGATTGTGATCTGGTAGTGATCTGGCTGTGATTTGACTGTGCTTCACAAGTATCCTAGAACGCTGTATTCAATCACGTAAGTTGTGCTCGGTTAGTGAATGATCAGGTTCTTGTCAACAAACAGAACAAGTTCAAAATCGTTGTTTGTGCCCAGGTGCCTGTGGATAAGTGGGGCTGGCTTAGCGGGACACGCGATCACGTGCGTGGACTAGCGCGCTTCTCGAGTAAACAGCGATGGACACAATGCGCCCGCTATTGACTGGCTTCGTAGTACATCGAAATCCGTCGCAGTCTGCGATTATACCATCATGCCTACCGCCACGAATCCAGAATCGCGCTCTCCATCTCCCACACCCGCTCGACCCATCGCAGACGCACCCGGCCCGCGCGCGCAAGGTCTGATCAATGTATTCAACCAAGCCTCCAAAGCGACCTTAGACAAGTGTTCGGCCAAGAACTTCGCTTCGTGCTTCCCAACGGCTGCACAGTATAGCCCAGAGGTTCTGGACAACCTGAGAGGGCAGATTGTGGATCAGTTGGACCGGACATGGAAGAGCAACTTCGAGGACATCATGGAGAGGAGGAATGTCGTTAGGCTGCTCAACTCGCTCGACCAGTGCATAGAGGATGCGAAACTCAGGAAGAAGCGCGCCGAAGCGAGTGCCAACGGTGGGCCCGTGGAAACGCCTGTGCCGTGAGTTTGCGAATGCGCCCGCTCTTGTTACTCTCGAATACTGACTCGAGGGCATAGACCGCATACCCTTACTCCAGCCGAAATACATCTAGCGCACCTCATGCCTTTCCTCGAGAAGCAGGCGACCGATATGAACACTAAGCTCGTCGAGACTCAGCAGTCAAACACCGAGCTGCTTTCGACCGTCACCGCACAACGCGCCGAGATAGAAGCCCTAGTACGAGGCCTAGAGAATGTCATACAAGATCTGGATGCTAGCGCGCAGATCATGGCTCAAGACGATGTACAAGAACTGAGCAGAGAGACTAGGGATCTTGAGATGGAAATGAGGACATGATACTGCAGGGAAGAACAATACCCCCAAGATACTAGGAGCTTTCATCTTGAAGACTCAGAAAGATATCGTGTCTCTAGCACGATCGCGCCACGCGCTCAGAACCAGCGTCAGACCGCTAGCACCGGGTCCGACACCCCGCTTAGTTACCCGAACAGCGCTCTCGTCAGAGCCACGCATGCCTGAGACGTACAGGAGGAAGATGGCGGCAAAACCATACTTGCAGATGTTGAGAGAAGATAGATGCGGGAATGGCGGTCGAGAGGACGCATGGTGACAGTTGCTGAGATCGCAAGTCTCTGCTAGTGGAATGCAGTAAATGGACGTGTCAGCTATCGCGAGGGCGAATAAGAGAGGTATCAGGCGCATCGATATTGACAGCAGGAGTTGAAGGCTCGAGAACAGGCAATTCGACCATTGTCAAAGGATGAGATACAAACGGACTTTACAATGTACTTCTGCAAAATACAACAACATTATGAGTATACGCATCTGTTCATTCCAAACCTGCACTATATACACATCACTCACATTACCATACCCACTCTATGGCATGTAGCACTTGAGCAACGAACCCAAACTCAACTCGCTCCCCGTCTGCAACAACAGATTCAGCGCTCCAGTACCAAGGTACACAGGGCACTTGATCGCCTGCGCCTCATTCACAGCCTGCTTCAACGATTCCGCATACCCTCCAAGCACCTTACCCTTCCCATCCTCCTTACCCTCCAAAACAGCAATCATCTTCGCACCCGCATCCTTGAACATGGCACTTCCACCCGCAGCATCACACGCCAGCTCGTAGAACTGCGGTAATGGGATACCCACGTGCTTGGCTAGCGAGATGGCTTCAGCTGCGGAGACGAGGTGGATGCCGGTTAGGAGGTTGACTACGAGCTGGAGCTTGGCTTCTTTGTCCTCGGCTGAGAGGCTGCTTTGGATGCTGGTGACGGGCTCGGAGGTCCACAGGCGGACGATACCGGAGTCGTCGTTGGCGCCCCAGCCGCGGTCGAGGGCGGAGAAGTAGACTTGTTCGGCGGCTGAGCAGAGGGTGGCTGGGAAGGCTACGCTGCGGGACATGGATGTGATGATTCCCTGTTTTGTTTTTGTTAGTACAATGCCACATCACTTCGGGATCCCCAGGGTGGAGGGTTACTTACAGTATCCTTCAGGATAATCGTCACAGCACTCGCTCCCGGGAAATAGTCTTCCTTCAGCGTCCTCTGACTGCGATTTTCAAACATCCAACTCCAGCCCGTACTCCCCAGCACCTTGTCGTACACATCCTGTCCGTTCAAGCCCAGTCTAGCAGCGAATCCGTATGCTTCGCTAAGAGACAGGATCTGGATTGCCGCAAGCACTTGATGAACCATCTTCATGTTGCTGCCAGCACCGATCCCGCCATCAACGATGAAAAGCTTGGAAGGGGCGGACATTTCTTCGAGTAGCCATTGGCCTTTTGAAAACGCGGCAGATGAGGCGCCCGCCATGATGGAGAGAGTGCCGTCTGCGGCTCGGCCTGCACCACCAGAAACAGGCGCATCGATGAACAGGACATCATCGCGGCCGATATCTACGAGCTCTTTCTCTACACTCTTCGCGTACGCACTTGGTACTGTCGAGCACAGCAAGAGTGTCGCTCCCTTTGGCAAAGCGTTCACAATGCCGTCTTTGTCGAAAAGCGCGGGCTGAGCTTGCATAGCCGATGCGACCATGACGATGTAGAAAGGCTTGTCTTTTGCAGAATCGGAGAGTGATGTTGATGGTGTGCCGCCCGCAGCCTTGAACTTCTCCAGCGAAGGAGGATAAACGTCGAAACCGGTTACGGGGTAGCCTTGCTTGACGAGATGCGTGGCCATGCCCATGCCCATTGCGCCTAGGCCGCAGAAGCCGATTTGGGGTTTAGAAGACATTGTTGTGGTGTTCGTGGTGTCTTCCTGGTTTGGTTTGAAAGGGGGAACAGCTTGGTGTCCCAAAGTATCCTATCTCAACACTGGGTTCCAACGTTGACGCGACGAATACTGCACGGAAGCCGTTATCCACAGATGCGGTAGTTCTCTTCGGTGTCACTCTGCTTTATGCTGTTCCCTGTATCTAGCTCTTTCTTAATTGCGATACATCCGATTTGACGTCTGAAGTTGAGAGTTGGAGTCAAGATGTCAGTCACAAAACATCGACCACGTACTTCTCTCCCATCACCCCACAGTCCAACGTCACACGCCGCTACATTCCCCAGGGAAAATGGCCTTGGGCCGGCAAAAGACCCGTCTTCGGTCATTGACATTCATCCTGGTTGCCCCGCACTATGAGCGAAACCGGTTAGGTGGGGTATCTCTCACCCGCCGAAAGTGGGTCGTCGGCAAATGACCGATGGCAGACTGTGTTGGGGAACCCGGCGGCACCAAGATTGGACATTGAACATCGGCGGGCGGGCCGGCTCGATGAAAAGATGCTGCGGCTTGTTGATGAGAACGAAATGTGTCCGGCCGGTGGGCTTCAGGTTCGGGTCAATGTATGCCGTGATGGAGATTAAATACAAACATGCATAGTGCTGCGAGAATAAGAGCTTCTGGACTTCAATCACACAACGATAACTGCGGCAGTCGCATCATGGTCAACGAAGCATATAGATTATCTCATTACACTATTACTGCAAGGTTCATACAACGCGCGGTGAAAATCGTCAAAAAGTCATGATATCCGTGTGCCCAAAACCAGACTTCAGCTTCTAGTGAGATTGGTCATCCAGAAAGCTTTCCATCACATAGCCCAAGCCACATTGATCGGATATATCGGATCCAAAACTGCAGTGTCGTCGCTCATTCCATCGGGGGTATAAGTCGTCAGTCCTCGTGAAGACGGACTATTAGTGGACAGAGAGTGGAACACTGCTTAAGCCGTCAGTGCGACGTCTAAGCAGCAACAACCCTCTCGTCCTCGCGACCGCGCTGGTGCTCACTAGCGATGGTGGAAGTGACGTCGTCGTCAAGATCTTCGCCCTCGTAGCCGTTGCCCTGGTGCTGCTCGGCAGGGATCCACAAGCCAGACTCCCTGTCGAGGGCCTGGTCTTGGCCAGAGAGGTCAACACCCTCGCCCATGTTGCGGTTCTGGTTGCGGCGACGCTGAGAAAGGGTGCGCGATCGCTGGGAGAGCTTGGAGGAGACAGAGGCGTTCTGAGACACCCAGTTGGTAAGGGCATCCTCGCAGTCTTGAATGATGCTGTGGCATGTTAGTGGGGGCTTCTCATTGAAAGGAGTAGAGAAACTTACGCCTTGCTAGCCTCGTAGCCATCGTAGGCTTGGCGGGTCTCTCCGGGAGTGACGGGGGTGTCGTCAACAAGCTCGAGCAAGTGCTTTCCGTAGCCAGCAATGATGGCCAGCTTCTCGCAGTGCTCGCGCATGGCATCGAATTGGTACGTGAAAGCTGCCTTGAGCTTCTCACGGGTGATGTTGGAAAGTTGGGCCTCCGCGACGAGGGACTCGGCCTCAGCGCGTACAAGCTCCTGCTCAAGGACAACAATCTTGGGAGAGTTGGGCTCCTTGTACTTCAACTGAGCAATCTGATCGGTGATCTTCTGCTTGCCTATTTGAACGTAAGCGTCAATCGGACAGCGCGCATGTAGAGGACCTACGGTCACGGCTGGGCTGGACGGAAGCCTCGATGTTGCGGATGCTCTTGATGGTGACGCGGTATTGGTCGTAACGGTCAACGTACTGGTCCTCGAGCTCACCGATCTCGTAGATGAGGACACCGAGCTTGTCAGTGACGTCAGAGACGTCGTCGTCGCAAGCCTCGCCCCAGATGGAGAGTTGTTGCTGTGTGGCCAGTTAGTACTACGTAAAGTCGCACAGGGTTGTGCAAGCTTACTGCGACCTCCATGCGCTCCCTGGAAACAAGCTCCATGCTGCGCATGACGTTCTTCTCCATCTTGACAAGTTGTGACAGCTTCTTTGCAAGGTCGGGTCCGAAGGCACCAGCGGACTTGTGGCGGAAGGTGTGGCCTGTATGGTAGAGGACCAGTCAGCAACTGTAGCATAACAAAGCATTTTTTGAACAGTCTGGACGCTATCCGGGAGCATCAACGATCGAAATGGTCGTCATTGCTGAACCATGCGACGAGGTATGCATATGCGGTGTGCAAAAATGGCATTGCGCGAAGCTCCTCGCACGATTCGCGTCGGGACTGGAAACAAGACCAAAGCAGGCAGAATCGTATCTAGAGGACGTACCAATGTTGGCCTTGCCAAAGAAGCGTCCGCTCTTGGTCGAGGACGAAGGGGGCGGGGGGCTCTGAATCTGCGACGCCGTGGGCGCGCGAGACTGGCGCATGCTGTAGGTTCTGTGCATGTTGGCGGTGGTGCTCTGGCGATTGATCAAGTGTGGATTGGAGGAATGTAGTCGTGCTTGAAGTTTCGGGGGCGGCGCGGTGTTGATATGGAAGGCGCAGAGATGTCGCGGTATGACGGAGGTTTTGTTTAGGGGACTTCAATGACGTAGCGTTTGCCTAGCCCCACTCTCCCCGTGGCGATCATGTTCTCGGGCACGCTACCTTCCCTCACATCATGCACATCCTCCACACTGCGACATTGGCACGCCCAAACCAGCATAGAGCATCCTCCTACGACCCTGAGTACCTGCATTCGACCCAGACCCCTTCTCGTGGTTTGTATTCCCATGCGACACATATATCGTACACAGTCAGACAATGGTTGCCCTGCTTGCGCTGATCCTACCTAGCTTGGGGCCAGAACTTTGGCGCCAGTGGCTATGTCCGATCCGGCTGATGTGACGTTGATGTGTGCCTGTTTTCGGGACCCATGGGCGCCATGACAACCGCACTACCAGGAAATCGTCTCTCTCTAGACCCTCGTAAGGAGCCATTCAAGTCGTCTATAAATCAGGTTGCGCAACTAATAAGGTTCAAATAGTTGTTTCCTGCAAGTTTTCAATGCTCCAGGACAGCGACTACACGGCAGTGGACATGTTGCTGTAGAGGAATGGAT